CCACAAATTATACTATAAAAACTGCACAAAAAATTGCAAAAGGTTTTGTTTCAAGTTTCTCACTGCCCAGAATTTGAGAATTTCCTGCTGTCACATCTTATTTTGAACATGCTATTGAAAAATGCTAACAAAAAAGTTCAAATTCAATTATTCATAAGATTCAGACTACATATAGAAGGGCAGAGCCAACGCACATCTGGTATAATCGAACACAATTAAAACAATGATTATATTACATGAACAGGAAATAGTGATGATGAGAGGATTTATGTATTAACCAAAATTACCAATGTCACTTTCCATTTAGATTTCCTCATAATTTGATCTTGAATTTTTTCCTCTTTTAGTGTAAGATCCTTAAATGACAACATCTCTAGCAATGTGGTATTCCCTCAAAGCTGCATTGGAAAGTCAGCTTGGATGTTGGACTCAAGCCTGAGGAGTGGGATCCACAATCCTCTGACCGAGAGGTGAGAGCTCTATCCACTGAATCACAGCTTGATCTGAGGTGATGTTGGAGATCCATCTTTTTGAAGCACTGACAACAGGTTTGATAATAATTGAGTATCTTGTTAAACCATTGGAGTAGGCAGTCAAGAATTAACCACTCTGTTTTGGGAGGGGAGTCACACATAGGCCCCAACCAGACAAGGACAGCAGGTTTTGTTACCTAAAAGGACCCCTAAACCAGTCCGGTGGTTTCATAGCCTCTTGAACTGATTGTAGGTCTTTACTAACTTCACACTCTCAAACTGCCAGAATCTGAATTGAGACCATAATCTCTGGACTGTTAGTCCAGACCATTGCTGCTCTATTAATTCAATACAACCATGATACTATTGCATCCTCCATATATGCAAATTCTTTAAAAATATCTGTATACTTTGTAAATGTCAGCCCTTGATGAGTTCCGTAAGAAAGCTGATAACATTTGATGAACAAAGATGTTATGCTATTTTTAAATCATTTGACTGTATGATTAAGTATGGAAGGTAACAAAAGCAATCACACCATGTGGCACCACTGTGCTTCAATCTGGATCTTATTGTTAAGCTGTACTGTCCCATCCGACTGAAAGTCCTGGTCTTCTATCAATATCATTATTAACCCACAGCATTCTCAGCTGATCAAGTCGTTTGCATCAAAATAGGTTTAAATTGAAAAGAGGGAGGGAAGAACAATAAATGCGGATTTTTTTTAAAAAATAACTCAAACCATCTTTTTTGGAATGGAATAAAGCAAAAGATCAATGGTATGGGAGATAGTAGGAACTGCAGATGCTGGAGAATCCGAGACAACAAGGTGCAGGGCTGAATGAACACAGCAGGCCAAGCAGCATCATAGGAGCAGAGAGGCTGACGTTTCGGGTCTAGACCCTTCATCAGAAAAGGGGGAGGGGAAGGGGGTTCTGAAATAAATAGGGAGAGAGTGGGAGGCGGATAGAAGAGGGATAGAGGAGAGGATAGGTGGAGAGGAAACAAACAGGTCGAAGAGGCGGGGATGGAGCCAGTAAAGGTGAGTGTAG